AGGCGTGTGGATCGGTCGTAATTAAAAGGTACACAAAAATCTCTTTTTGAAGTGATCAACCTTATTACTTATCTATATGAACATAGTGACAGCAGAGAAAGACGTAGACTGTGCAATTGCAAGATTAGTTCGATGTCTCAGTAGTTTTTCTTGAATGGGGGTGATAGAGGTGACAAGGGATACAGGGAACTGATTTGTAGCAGGAATCGGCGATTATGGCATTCGTAGGGTTCAGAGGCCGCTTCCGCTGGCTCTTCAGGCATGGGCTCCAGAAGATTTTCAGTTAGGGCAGAAATAGAAGCGACGCCAGCTGCTATTCATACCGCTAAACATCCCACGTCCCGTGGTGTGTCGCCCTTTATTGTTTCTAAATTTGTCTTATTCTATAAAAACTCTGTTCTTCTACCGATGTTAAGAGAACAGGTCTTGTGCGTACACCCCATATTGAGTTATTCCTGTATGGGTTTCTCGCTTTCAAGATTGCAGTGTATTGTATTATCACAGCAATCGAATAAGGGTTTGAATTGTGGGAGAGTGTTTCTCGAAGTGGACTCGACAAGGCGATGAAGTCTTTTATCAGAGACATTAGATTGGAAGATAGGCCCTGCAACACTTCGAGCATCTTTCTTCAGAAAGAAAACGAAACCCTTCCTAAATGTTTCACGTTGATCGCTACGAATTTTCGCAGACTCCATAACGGATGGACGAACCGGATGCTGGTGGATGACTTTTTTGCTTCTCTTCTGCTTTATTCGCATCAAAGTATTATTTCGAAACATAGCGATCGGTAATGGGAGCTGGGGGCTTTACTTGAACGATACACGTCACTGTGTTGCCCGTGGAAAAACGGAGTAAAAGCAGGCCACCATGAAAAAAGATTGCTATATTGCTGGTAATACTGGGGAGAAGCGACCCGTTGAGAGCTGCTCGACCCCAGCACTGTGGTGACGGAAACAGCCTACGCCGGTCAGGTGGACCATTTAGTGCGGGAATAGCGCCAGAAAAGACTAAATGTCCTTTTACTCCACGATAATGCATGCCCATATGTGGCGAACAAAACGCATAAAAAATAATGGGGCCAGGATGTGGTGTGAGCTGAATATTTAATTGACTCGTAGACCTCGGTGCTCCTTTCCTTCCGAAGCTCAGGTCAGAAAACTGAATGTTCTCGGCTAAAAGACGTTCCTGGGCACAATTATGGGCTAATCTCCTCATCTGCCCTCTAGCGTTCAATATTGAAAAACGGAGGTTTCCTAACTTCATTATCACCTCCGATTTCTGTAAAGACATGTATAGCACGATGCTCGTACAGATCGCAGTCAATGTTTTGAAACACCCACTCAACTCCACATTACTCACTCTAAATCATTACCCTACTCACCAAGTTACTGCTTAATATATAAGAAGGAAATGTGGGATAGAGCTGGGTTCTCTATATCACTACCATTATCGTAAACACAAAGTTAAGCGGACGGACAGACCGACAAACCGGCAAACACACACAAGCCTACAAACCTGTGAAAGGGCAAACCGATATACCAAGCGACTACTTTATAAATAAGAGGGAATTATTGAAAAGAGAGCTCAATTTCATCTGAGAAAATATGATTCTTTGCCAATTGTCATCAAGGGTTTAGAGAATGTAAATTCCGAAAGTCAAATGTACGATCTGCTCGAATGTTAAATAGCTCATTTCATTGTACCGGCATATACAACGACTTTGAAAAAGGTACCCTAGTTAGCTCAATTATAAAAAGGGAATGAATGACTCGCTCTCTAGTCGTTCCTCGAGAAATCGGTGAGCAACTCGGAAGAGATTGTGTAGTGGAACTGAGCTGGGAAAAGGAGGAACGGATGAAAACTGAACCTTGCAGGATATGTGTTCATGTAATCCGTACAAAACAATAAACCTAACAACACGGAGATACATATTCAACAACACACACAGCAACTGGAAAATTACAACAGCGAGAACGGGATTCAATGCCAAGAAATGAAATTATTCGTACTTATCAAAACATCAAAATCAGATTGCACAAACCTGGAATCATAAGAAACCTAAATCAGGGCCTTTAGTAATCAAGCCGTACGTATTAATTTGCAATGCTTGCGATCGCTTCGAACGGAATGAAGCTCTGAACAGCGTCTAGATTTTATTGGAAACAAACCACAAGAAGAATTTCTAGGTCTGTCTCCATCCGATAATGTGTTTATCATTTTTGACGAGAGGGTCATCGGAAAACAGCATAGTAACATTCGCAGTTGTTCCTAAACATCAAAATTAATTCACTTCTCTATCCTTGGACTCCGAAACTGGTCTCGTAGAGGTTTATATTGTAAAGATGGTATTCAACAGTATCGTTCCTGCAAATCCCATATTCCATCCAGTCAAGCACAGCAGAAGTATGATTGCCACTGTCTCCATATTTTTATATGCACGTCAAGCACAGTTACACAACACATGAATCCATCTGCACGATTTCTGGACTTTTCTTCTCGTTATATTACTCCATCTTATTCATATCTAACTGAAAAAGGAGAAAAAGACCCAGCGTCGTCCGCGGCGAATCCCCTCTACTTCTCGTCAGCTGCCCTTTTTCATCGTATTTGTTGACTAATGAAGGTCATAAATATAATATATTAATACAAATACAAATAGCTGAAGCACCACCACACGTTTTTGCTATAGGGAAAACCCTTTTCCTGCGTTGATAAAGAAATGAGCATGGCTCTGTCGCATGCTGAACACTGAAGACTGGTGCACAGCCTGCAACCTCCGTTTCTTCGAAACGGACAGTTAACCTGTCATCCGTCGTACGCGCATGATCATAGAGCTTATTGCTGATTAGGTAACATTTGATATTTTCCGCCGGTAGGTTTATCAAGACAACATCATTCCCCAAATCTGCTAGTGCAATGCATTGTCGAATTTCCGGGCTGGCTTTGTCTGATATAAATGGAAGCCGTAGTGCACCGTATTCTCACTTTTCCACGGCGAATAGCCTAGCGAGCCTAACTTTCCGTGTTGTGTCTCGTAGCCATTCAAGCTTGCAATCTGCTAGCTATCGTGACTCTCCCGTTACACTTCGCACACTCCTCTAGCTGTTCTGCACATGTTACGAACTACTGCATGTTTCACAGCATCAGAGTGAGCAAACCTTGCGTGGAGTAAGCTGTTCTTTGATCTTTATTCTTGAGACCACCCAACATTGTATCTTCTTGTAAATGGATAGAAGTTTGATCAGAACATTGAAGTTGGACACACCCTCGTTCCCAGTTTTCTATAGCCTGATCAAAAGTCACAAGTTGTCCAACGGATATGAGAACTCAGCTAATGTTAGCAATTACAAAAAGACCTATCATAGGCTGTGCAGTGGGACCGACGGACCACATCTGCTGGTTTCCTAATTGCTCAATAGGATTGTTGATCAGCTATTTGCTTCATAATTCTTTACCTGCATAAGGTTCGATCTGCTCAGTTGAACTCCTTCAAAACGTATGAGAAGGTGGCTAATCTTAGAAAGCAGACTTTACCTTGAAAGCGATCGAGTGTTCTGGTGACTTCCACATCAGGATGTAGTACGACTGCGAGAAGCATAATAGGCCGAAGAAGACCTTAATAATCGTTCAGGTGTTGATGATGTGGATGCGTATGAGAACTTACCATGTAACTTTGGAGAATTTGGACAAGTTTGACGTTAGGCAGCCACTTGGAAAGGAAGTCACCGAAAAGTTCAATCCCGAGAATAGTTGTGCACCACGACCAAAAGAACAGAGCCAAGTGCACTGTAAGCGAGTTTAGAGCCTGAAAGATTTACCTCAAAAGGTTTCTAGGACCCTAATATCGAAGCCTTACCCGTTTTTGATCTCTCCACACGCTTCGGCGAAGACTCACATTCCATTCTAAAAAGAACATAAATTAAGAGGTCAATGCAATTCCAGAACGATAATTTCAGATATGACTGCCCATGTGGCCGCTTACGAAAACAAGAATCCACCTATTCTATATATAATCTATGCTTGTTTAGATCCCCGATTCGAGGCTCCTACCAGCCAGTACAGCTTTCTATGAAGCTCGGCATAATTGCTCCTAACAGCATAAGCACCTCGGATGAAACAAAAAAGCATCTACACCTTGATTCCTAAAGTGCATATTTCCAGTCTTTTGTTCGTTTCTGCTTCACAGTAATGGTTAAAAAACATTTACAAGGACTCTATAAAAAAGATACCGATCGACTTTTATAAAAATGGCCTGCGACACTATCTTTGCACAGTTCCTCTTTCCATCCAATTGGCAAGATGCGAATCAATGTTGCGCGTGAATAGCACGCTCTCCGATCACCGCCGTACACTATTCTGTCCCAGCACTTCTATTCTTTGATTTTAAAACTACTGTACACTAGCGCTCAAAAGTCTTCGGCCAAACACTCTTTCGCGTTTTCGTTCACAACTTTTTTCTTAGTGGAACAAATCGCACAAAATTCCGACATGTCTAACTAAAGCATATTTCACGCCATTTAAGACTATTTGACTAGAAACAACAATATCCACATGACTAACAGCAAGGTGTTTTGTTGCGGTAGTAGACCACCAAAGCAAAATTTGTGGCGTCTGCAGTTATTCGCACCTTATGTGCGTTTTCCTCCTTCACCGTATTCGGCAGTAGCGCTTGTACACTTGAGACATGGCAAAAAGGAAAGAATCTAGAGAAGGACCATCATCCGTATTCCCAGCCGATAGGAATTCAAGCTCTTTGGAATGTATGGCACATGGTCAGATTGCACGTTAATAGTGGTAAATATCCACAATACACCCACGCTACATATATTGAAATTTCACATGATTACACCAAGTAGGAAAGAAGTTACCACTGAAAGTACGACTGAAGAAGCACTTGGCCGAAGACTTTTGAGCGCTACCGTATATCGAAAAGTGTCGCACATTGTGCTTTCAACGAAATGCGGCTGATTGAGATAGCCACAGTCGTTCGAAAGAGACTTCTAAGAGTGGGTAGATAGTGGTAGAAGCAGAAATGCCGAATGCACGAAATTCGTGCCTTTTTCGTTGGGGAGTGCTCCGCTCTCCAATGAGGATATCTGCACAAACCATTCATGTACAACCAGAATAATGATGCTGTCAATTTTTACTCGTGTTGCTTCTTAAAGTGGATAAGGAAGTAAGGGTAAGCAAAAGAGGCAAAAGTCTGACAATAGCCTGTTCGTTCTTTGAATTGCTCACTTACCTGATGTTCTATTTGAACAAGCACCAGGATAATCCACTGCTGAAATGCAGAAATGTCAGAGAACCAAAGCAGACAGAGTAGAGGTAGTCTCACCTTTTCTTTTAAGGATAACCCATACAGTGATATGAAGAATAACGACGACGACGATGATCGCAAGATTAGTGCTCATCCAGAAGCGGTTTGCCGAGCCGTTAAGGGCCAACGTCGGGTTGCAGAACATAATGTGCTTCTCTTCGACTGACAACGCACCCCAGACCTACATGGAAGCAGATTATTTGCCATCCTTGCGTTAAATAAATTCCTGCGTTGTCAGTGCAAGATCATGATATAGGAATATGTTTGAGACCTTGAAACACCTCCACCTTACTTTTTTCTCATGTACCTATGAATAGATGCTTGGTTCTCATTGCAAGCAATATAGTGCTGCGCAATAAGAGAGTATTCAGCTATCGCTACCACTTATACAGTCCGGGAATCAAATTCTGAAAGTAGCCTTAACACATAAGCTTCTCATTCCTTCTACGTCAAATCCTTTTTATATTTTTGTGACGATGGTTGATTGTTAGTAGTTGTGATCCTCTTAACTGTGAGTGATTGCTGGTGACCGAAGTATCTTGGTTGGAGGAAGAGTATTACAAAGTCTTATCACAACCACACCCATAGCGCGACTTAGTCTTCACCAGTGGTAGTCCATATGGCTCAAAATCGCGTCAGAGCACACCTGGGCGCTGTCAACTTGAACAAGAAATCGTTTGTGTGGTAAAACACTAGAGTTTAACACCTTCCGTCCACTAGGATATCATAAAAGACCAATTATTTCCAACTATTACCCCGAATACATACGTGAGATGGGCGCTAATACAATTTTTGCGTAGTTTTTGTAAAGAACCCCTACAATTTTTTGATTTTTTTGGATTGTCTCAGTTAGTATGTAGATAAACGTATGTAAATGGTTGCCAAATTCAGTTTGCTAGAGATGCGCGCTCTTAATAAACGGCTTATGACGCTATTATTTGGTGTGGGAGAACAGTACTGCCTTTTTTTTGGAAGAGGGTGGTTACTGAGTTGCCAAGACGATTACGCTTCAGGTTATGTTCGAGGGAGTCCATTTATCGAAGGTCATGAAACGCGCACGGTATCGTGCGCAGCTCAACTGGTATTCTCAAAAAGGCATAGTTATTTCATGCGCTGCACTTTTGCATCGAGCTTAATATTCTAAAACGAATTTTATATCCGCTTGAGCGGTGGAACCTTGGCTTCTAAAAAAGACGATACCGTCTAGCGTCAGGCCGTTGACCTAATAAATTGTTCCACCTAACAACCTCGCACGGCACAAGAAACAACAACTATGCCGAGGTTAAAGCAAGAGAGATGTTGGAGACTAAGAAATAAATGTTACCTGGAACCATGCAGCGTATGGCTTCATTTGTGTATGATTCAATGATTCGAGATTGAAGTGGTCAAAAATGGAATATCGCTACACAAGTAAAAAACATTCGTGGCACACATGTGGACTACACTGTCGTCATTAGGCTAAAGCTGCCATAATGATACATCTGCCCGTTAATTAAACCACACTGCGTTAGTGAACGGATCAACAATATAAGAAATGAATCGAGAGAAGAAATGCAATCCGTTCATGCTAGAGGCATCCCGAACTTTCCACGATGGTGCTTAGATTGAGCGTTGACTTGTTGAGTTCCAAATTTTACTAGTTTCATGAAGTCCTTTATCAACACACACAAACTGCTTTTTTTCTTCAAATTCTGAGGAAAGCGACATTGCCAAAGTATCAGCTCAGTTGACTTTACCTAATTTCAAGAGCCTAGGCCGACATTCAACGATGTCGTACCACGAGAATAGTACGAAAAAAGCTACATGGAAGGGGTATTTGGACGAGTTGCTCAAGCTGGTGCGCCATTGCATACAGCCGACGCGTGTGCGTGCGTGCAAGGCGTGGGTCCCGGTGCGAATGGCGCAGCCTCGACAGCTTTTACAAACAACTAAAGTTAACAACTCGTCCACCTTGGGTGTGTACGCCGGCTGAGCCGATTTTTTAGCACTTATTATGTATGCTCTATCTTGACTAGTTTACAGAATTATTCTGGAGGTAAGGCTGGACAGTTCCTTCAGCTAGCCACGGCGTTTCACCGAAGTATCACGCATTGAGAAGAAATTGTAGCGGATTGCACATAGCATCAAACAAAATGAAGGGTTTTCCGTGTTGTCAAATCCTTGTGATAGGAGCAAGGTTGGGAAATTGCTTGACAAGTTCCACAGTAGATTGATAGTGTTTGGACCGAGGTCAGCTGAAATTCTTAGAAGTTTGATAACCTTTTCAGCGCATTTATTGAACACATCAACCGAGGGTGAAGTTAATTTCAGTTAAATATTGTAGGCGGGCTTCACTTCATCCAGTGCACATTCAGATTTGTGAGCTGTGCTTTAATTTATTGCCATTACAGCCCTTTCTCCCAGTTTTCTTGCGGAAAGTAATGTGCATACAATACTTCACTGTTTCGCTGCAAAAATAGGCTATCAGGAAATTTCTTTAAATTGAACAAAAAAACCTGATCTGGTCCTCTATCTGCGCGGTTCGTAAGTGACCCGCTGTCTCAGCGGTCGTTTTCTGCTTCGCTCTGCGAGTGCGACATATTCAGCCCCTTGGATATGCTGTTCGCCCGTAGTTCCCCGCTGAACTGCCTCCCTGTCTACCTGTTGACTATGCCCATCCTTTGTGACAGAGGGCCATTTCCTCTGCTCTTTCCCTTGTGTGCCACTTTCTGCGTAAACTTTCCTTGTTTCGTCCGTGGGATGCCAGTCGCTTTTATTGACAGTCCAGAATCTGCTGTCTTTCGGTCCCAACTTAGCGGTTTCGTGTTGACCTATCCCCTCATGCTCGTCCAAGCACTCTGGATCTTCAACGCTCTATGGCCACAGGGGAGGACATGCCTCCTTATATGAAGATCATTACTGATGCGCTCGAGGGAATACTTCAGCAATTCGTCGAAGCCAACAGAAGGAACCATGATATATTAGAGAACAGGAATTGAGGGAGGAGAATTCTTTGTTAAAGATTCAAATTGAGATGATGCTGTGTGGCAACTTGTTCCGATCCTCATCTTTTGTTAGATAAAGCAGCTCTTTTCTCTCCACCTCAACACTTTTACCTCGATCTTGCTGATGCAGACCTAAATCGTTCAGATGTAATCGCTGGAGTTCCCGAGAGTGTTTTAAGAGTTTATTTGATGCAATTAAGCACCAAGCTGCTGCCCTGGACAGCCGGACTAACACGCTCAGACCGTATAAGTAATGACGCTATCAGAGAGCGATTCGGTGTAGCGCCCATTGTCGATAAAATGCGCGAGGCCCGTCTTGGATGGTATGGCCACGTTCTTCGCGCAAGGAACGACAGTGTCCGTGAGGTCGGTCTCAACCTTGACGTCTTCGGAAAGAGGCCTAGAGGATGTCCAAAGCAGCGGTGGCTTGATACGTTGCACGAAGACCTTAAAGCGGTTAACATCCACCCCGATCAAGCGTTCAATCGGGGCGTCAACATATCAGAAAAGCGGACCCCGCCTACAAGCGGGACCAACGACAAGTTTCAAGCAGTTGGTTAGTCCCCCACTTGAGGTAGTTCCTATCACAACTTGCGCTTTGGCAATTTCCACATACTCATCATCAGAGTGACTTTCCTCCCCACACTAGAAGAAGTGGTCATGCGATGATTGATTTCTAAATCTTCGTGCCTTGAAGCCCTATCTGGTTTGCAAACCCGAATTTGGTCAAGCAAATGCAAAGCAATGAAGTCCTGGCTGTACTTTACGATACAATTGCCAAGTTGGTTCCCACAAAGGGTGGAGGCAAAGTATTCTCATGTTAGCACATACTCGGAAAGCCATCGTAATTTGTTGTGTAGAAATGTTGGTTTCATCGGCACAAGTGAAAAATGGTCAAAATTCGAACCTTGTAATGTCGCGGCTGATAAAAAGCTATTTAGGCATTCTGAAAGTTCAAGAAAAAGATCATAAATACTGAAAGGCCCTCCGAGCTTCACAATTACATTAGTTCGCTGCTTCAGAATAGAAAGACAATTCCTGTTCTTGTCGATAATGTCACCGATGGCAAACTAGCTTCTTCTCTAAGCTTCTTGCAAGGCATTTCCATGAAACCTTTGCTGTTCCGAATCCTGATCTTGATCTAGATTATGAATCTTCTCTATCTTTCTAGTCATGGACCCAGTGGCCTGGTTCTATAAAGGAGACATAGTTAAGCTGCTCCCTCAATGGTCTAGCTCTACTTAAATTACCCTTGATTTCATTCCCCTGAAATTCGTTGAGAAATTATTGCTTTTGATTGCTAATCCATTGGTGTACGTACTTGCTTAATTTGTCACTCACCTGGTCGGAGAACACTCTTCAAAGGAATAATTTTCTTGTGATACCTATCCATAAGAAGCCAATATATTTGGATCTTAGAAATTACCACCCCGAATCTAGCACATGTGTATTTGCCAGAACTTTTAAAAAGATCATAAAAATTTGACTTCCCACTTAAATAAGCATGTAATAATTCTTTAATGTCATCATGGCTTGTGGAAGGGCAAGTCTACTAAAAAGGTCCTACTCTTTCCAGTCAATGACTGGACTACGGCCCTGGATGCTCAAAAACTAACCTACATCATCTACTCTGATTTTGCTGAAGCCTTTCATGTGGTGAAACCAAAAAATTGGTTCACAAACTCATCATGGTTGGTGTTCATTAGTGTATAGTCGCATGGATTGAAACATTTTTCGAGAACCGCAATATTGGTGAGGGTAGCCCAAGTACTCTCATCGGTTTTCCTCTTTCCCAGCGGCATTCCTCAAAGAGGTATATTGTCTCCACCTTTATTTTTGATCTATACAGCCGATCTCCCACCTGGTATTTCTAAGCTTGGCATCACTTGTTTGATTTATGCTGATGACATCAAAATACACACCACACTGTGGAGGCTCCAGTATAAATACTTCGGAATATTACTGATTTGCCCGTTAGTCAAAAAATTATCAAACTGCCCTCAGCGGATGACAAAACTGTGTTTTCTCAGATTGGAGGAGTTCGATGCCAGAAACCATGGAATGTAAATGATATTAACATTAGATGCGTGACCGATGTTCGGGGCTTGATTCGTGATAAGTGGCAATCTTTCCTTCCACCGCCACTTCAAAAAACTTGTCA